TTTTCAAGTTAAAAGAAAAAATTCTTCGAAAAATGACAATTGTTCCATGGCGATTCGTTTTGAAGTGTGCTCGACTGTTTTCAATTATTCAACTGTTTGGTGACAGTTATGTTTGGTGTTTTTTTTCACATGTCGACCGATGATAATGGATGATAATAATCGATATCATAAAATCGATGCACTTTTCCAAATTTCCATTCAAATCAAATCCGGCCAAAAATGGTTTGCCTACATAAAATTGCGCTGCATCGTAAAGATTAAATGCATGTGTTTTAAATGTTTACTGAGACGATGCATTTATTTCAGTCTGTTTTTTTTTTGTATATGTTTCAGTTCGAGTAAAAATTTGACCCACTTTTTCGCATGGTGGCTTGCACCAAGCGGATTGAGTAAAATGAGCGAGCATGTGTGTAAGCTTGCTGGTGTGATCGCTTGATACACACTTACACATTGTGTGAAATGTTGATAATGGAGAAGTCATCTTTGACAAGTTCAAATGGCTCAAGTGTCTGCAACGATGATTGCAGCTATGTACCCAACGACCAAGTCAGAAAAAAAGCGAGAGTTAACAAATAACCAATATTGACCACTGTGAGAAATTGATTGGTTGATTTTTTTCCCTGTCTTCACTATTATCGCATCACATAGAAGTGAAGGCAAGACATTTTGAATTTCGATAATATCGCAATCAATCACATGCACATGGCATTCATACCGAATGTAAAAAGAAGGAGACAGAAAAATCGGCAACAAATCGCACAGAGTCACACACACACACACACACACACACACACAAGTTGGAAAATAAAGAAGAAGAAAAATCACTCGCACACGAAGATTCATGCATAATATTAAGAATTTGATATTGGTCAATGATAGAAGCAATGGCAGACATTGAGCATTTCTAATCACCCATCATCGGACGTGTATATTTATAGTTGGGTTCAATAGCAAGCGAGAGAATCAAAAGCAAAACGAACAAACGGCACAGATGAATGAATGATCGCAACACACAACGATTAGTGGTTCGTTCAACTTGTGGGCTCGTGTTCTAAAAGCAAAGGCTCTTTTGAAGTTGTTATCAGTTGTCCGTTCAATTAATAGATCCCTATTGTGTTTCGGTTAAAGATCCCCATTATACATCAGTCGAAGATTTCAATTTTCCACTTCAGTCGAAGTAAATTCATTTCGTATTTGAAAGAAGCGCGCATGGATTTTACGAAGTCATAAAATTGGTGTCTTAGTCATCATTGCACTTAGATACCACAGCACATAGAGCACCGATCACACACAGAACACGAATACACATGCACACACACAACGGCGATGGCCGTTTCGATAGTTGCTGTTGGGGAAAAATTGATCGATGGCAATTGACTTGATTATTTTTTTTCCATTGCAATGACAAAGCGGTTAACAAACGATCATTTCCACATACAAACAATACACACCAGTCAGCAATCAGCTCACATTCACGCACAATATCTGTAGTGACCGGTCAAAAAATAAATGAAAGTTTAAATGCAAAATGATGATAATAATGGAGAAACAAAACGAGAAGAATGGAACAGAAAAAATAAAATAAACGGTATCTGTCTTGCGCACACGCGCACAACAGCGACGACGACAACGATGTTTTGTTTTCACTTCACTTAGAAAATACGATCAGCAACAGAAAAGAAAAATACGAACGCTTAAAATCAACTGAAAGAAAACGGCATATTCAAGGATTTGTAATATGCTAAAACTTACAATATTGTCACACTTGTTTTTGCACAGAAAAAAAAAGAAGAGTAACGGTTAACATGCGTACGGACGAATTATTTGCTGTTGCAAATGTTTCAACAGACTCAAAAACACAACACAATAAAACCAAAACTATTGAACTACAGTGAAAAAAAATGGTATTCAACAAAAATGAAATTGCGAAGAAGTAGAAAAAAAAATGGTGTATCTCTGTTTTCTTTTTCGTTAAAACCGTTTTATTCAATTTTTTTTGTTTTGTTTTTCGTTTGTCGCTTTAAAAAAAAAAAAAAACAAAAAAACACACAACCGTCATGAAGCGCGGCTAAGTTAATTCTGTTTATCGTGCACTCCATAGACCAGCATAACCATAGTTTTCTCGATTCAGCTCACATGCGGCCGCTCGCGCGCGCTCGCAACCCAGCCAAGCATTTAGCAAAAATTCATATACACAAGCATGTATGCGCGAATCTACACGGTGAAATAAATGTGTGCAGCGCGCATTTACCACACTGGTTGGAATAGCGAAAAAAGCAGCAGCAGCAGCAGCAGCAGCATAAAACAAAAAACCAGGCGCACGAATGTGCATAAGCATATAAACTGGGTGCAAACGAGTGAAAGAGAAAGAGACACCGTGTACCGTGTGGTGTTTGTGCTGTGCTGCAAAGAAAACTACAACAATTCGTCGAACATACCTCAGCCAATCTCTTTTTCCACCGAGTGCGATTTTTTTTCCATTTCGACTCATGGTCTGGTGTGGTGGTGGACGAGCGAGCGAATAAGAGAGCGCACGTGCGTGAGCGCGGAACGCGGTGTGGGTCTTATGCGCATGTTTTCAAGCCGAATACACAGTTGATTTTCAGTGCTTATGCTATGCAAACCGAGTGAGCGCCGGCCGACCGATCGAGCGCGTTTCTGCGAGTTATCATGCGCGAGTACCCGCTCTCTACCATTCGATGTGAATTTTTGCGAAGAGAACGCCGTACCGGAGTCTGTGTACCATATGCACGCGGGCCAAAAGATCGTGCCCAGAACATAAACACACCGTTTTCTTATCCAATAAACACTAAAAGTGAAACAATTTACAAGCATTTAAAACTGTGTATGCGCTTGAGTCGATTTTTCTTGTTCGGTTCAGTTTGATTCGAGCTTCTATTGCGAACGCTCTCGTTTCGTCGAGAAAATGGTGTGACCAAAAATGGTGGCGGCTCGCCAATACGATACCGATATCAGAGCATTTTGGTCGATTTCCTCTGGCTTTTTTTGGTCACCCGCGCGCCCGCACTCATTTTATTGATTTATTGGCCACAGTGTTGTTGGCTTGCCACTTCGTTTTTTTTTTCTCGCGTCGTTTTCTGTTGTCTCTGCAACATTTCAATAATAGATTTATTCACCGCATATTTATATATATTATTAATTTTAACCTATAAATATATTTGGAATTGCACAAATCATTTAAATAACACGAAACACGAAGATAACACGCAACGACACAACACTAACTGAACCACCGTAACTATATCATCATCATATAAATGCAAATTTTAATATCATTTGATCGACCGCGCTGATAACACACATGAGCTTCTCTTTCTTTCTCTCTATCTTTTTTTTGGCAGCTCTCTGCAGCACGACCCAACACAACGCGCGATAACTTATGTTTTTATTTGTTGCTGTTGCCACTGCTGCTGCTGTTGCGTTTGCTTTTATAATTATGTCTCCATCCATTTCGTTCGATTTGCATTTTATGCCAACATTTTTATATGGAGAAATATATTTGACTTAGTTTTTACGAGAGCGAAGGAGTAGAAAAACTATAGCGACGACAAACGACGACGACGAAGAAGAAGTAAGATTGACCAATTGAGCCATTGGTTTTCATCAACGCCACCAAGACAAAACCGATCGACACCAGTCCAGGCAGATCTGTGTAACTCAAACAATCTTATTTCATTCACTCGGTCTCTCTCTCTCTCTCTCTCTCTCTCTCCTGTAAAAGAAAATCACTTTGTGTAATCCTTGCTTGCGATCTGTCGTGCCGTAATCCAGCCGAATTCGGTGCGTTAAATGTATTTTTTTATTTCTTCGCGCTTTTTTTGTATCGTTTTAGTGAATATATAGTTTGATTTTAATTCCAAACTGCTGCACAAATGATATGATGATATGCTTATACGTTATGGGCTCTTAATACACACATTTCTCTCTCCACTTTGGCAAAAACCGTGCGATATATTACACTTTTTCCATTTCCTGCACGAACCACCAAAACTGAAATTCCATTTCGTTGTGTATTGTATGACCACTGGGTTGATCTTTTAATTGGACGGTTTTTATGGTTTTCTTGGATTTCATTTAGTTTTCGATTCATAAAAAAAAATAAATAGAAAAAAAATCAACAAAAGAAATGATCAACAGTGTGAAATGGAGAGGAATTTTGCCTGATTTTTTTCTGGTTTTTCATCTTTTTATGACATTAATGTCATAAACCAAACCAAAGCATAAATCTCATAGATACCGATTTTACACGAGATAGAATTGATTTTTTTGACCCCATCATGAATTTTTGGTCTAAACCCTATCTGAAATTTTTGGTGTCAGAATCTATGATAAATCTCCGAACCACCAAACATTTTCGAATAAACAATAGATCACATTTCATCCTCAAGTAGATCAAATTTTTGAATGTAAATGTCCAGTTTCAAATTGGTGGCATAAATTTTTCATCTTAATTTGATCATAAGAGAAAAAAAATGATCGTTTCGAAGATTTTTTGTTCCCGAGAGTTAAACCTCTCTTGCTCGTATTCAATCGATTTCGTCAGTTTGATGTGTATTCACTTCGAAATGGGACAGTTGGCCTTTTGACCTTTTCCGCTCATTTGATGGCGGCTTTTTGCGATTTGCTCAATTGATTTTGATGATTCTTGCACAAAAGTGCATTTGCTCAATCTCTATTCTTGTATTTTTAAGCGAAGTAGGCAGATAAATGAACGAATGGACTTAATGTCCATTAAAATGTCCATTAAGATGTTCATCATACTAAGATTACATGATTGTTGTGATTGCGTTGTTTTTGGACGTTTGATGGTGTCGAAACCCATTACTGTTGGCACAACACTCGGAAGTGTGCGCTTTAATTTCCTTACACTTTGATTTTGGCTCTTGAAATGTAGAGGTCGTTAGTTGAAACGCCTGAAATCATATTAACCGATACCATGGAAGCTTTTCCAACTGAATAACAAAGCAACTTTTCGAGAATTAGATTAGAAAATTCGACTACGGTTTACCTTTTATTAAATCTTAGCTCTATTTTTTCAACATATTCAGACAAAATGAACGAAAATAGGTTTTTTTTTTCAATGATTTGTTCAACAATGTGTTTCTTTTATATCACCAAATACATCAGTCAATGTGTTTCATTTTTTGTAGGACAAAGCACCTTGTCGTGCGAGTTCATCAGCGCGTTCGTTGCCACGGATACCAACATGTGCCGGCACATACTTCCATTGGATTTTCATTTGTGGATTACCTTCAATGGCTTGGTCTAGCTTTCGGAAGTCGACTTCATTTTTCACCGGTCCACCACTGCTCAATCGCCAATTGCGGGCCTTCCAATTTTTCATCCATTCCGTCACCGAACGAATCACGAAATGTGAATCCGAATTGACACACAGTTTTTTGATGCCACAGTCGGCGGACAGGATGATTGCTTGAGTCGCACCCTGGATTTCACCACGATTATTTGTTGCTGGTCCTTCGACTGGAGCCGCTGTGTTTCTGTGAAATAAAATTGAAATAGTTAGTTCAATGAGTAGTCGTGTGTTCAGAATTGAATCGGTGAAATCCATATTCTGCTCGGTTCTTCTATGCTAAATTCTAATTTTGTTTTCGATTTGATTGAATTGAAAACGATAATTGTGCATGAGCCACAATGGGAAAGAACAATTCCGTTTCACTGATGTTTGACCCTGATTTGCTCAAATTTGAAGTAGATTCACGAAAGTCAGCTTCATCTTTGGCTCAAATTTAAATTGGAATTAATTCGAGTCACGTTTAAAAAGGAAATGAAGGTATAATTGAATCGATTTGCTGACATTTTTGTGGCGATAAAAATGGGCGAGAAATCAGAAAGCGTGAAAAAATGCTTATCATAAAATCAATTAGAATCCTCTCGTTGATTCGAATCAAATTGAATCAATTCAACACCGAAAAGCAGCTAAGAGATTTGTGATTGATTTCGAAAAGTTGCGGGAAATAAGTGTTAGAAGCACGAGAACGTCGTTTCCAAAACGATGAACGAACAAGAAATGAAAAACAGACTATTCAAAGCCTCACAGTTTGCTTTGAAAGAGAAACAAAACAGCATGATTTCAATAAGATACGTACAGTGGATGACCTTCGCCAAAATAAACACCAAAACCAGCGATCGCATTTGGTCGGCCATTGTTCTCGCATGAACCGTCTGTGTAAACGTGCACATAGCCTTCGTCATCCTCCATAAAATGGTAGTCACCATACATTTTCATCTGTTTAATGTTTGCCGTGTAGTCTGTGGTTTTGTCTTCATCGATTTTCGAACGCTTGGCTGCTTGTCCAGATCCAGAGCCATTCTCAGTCGCTGGCCGTTTGTTGAATGTTTTTGCTTGCTTTATCTGGAAGAAAAACCATTGTTATTATTCAAAGCATTGATCTGTGTCACTTTTTCTTTGTTAGGTTCATTTTGATCAATTTCCAATAAAAAAAAGGAAAAAAATCATTTTTTTTCTCGGTCTTAAAAAAAAACACAGGAAGAAAGTTTCTTTCTATCCATTTCTTCTTTTTTTTCTCTCTTTCTTTCTTTAAACAAAAAGCCGACCATTACCGGTGTGTTTCAACGGTTTGTTTCAACCAAAAACACTGTATTCCAACCGAAAAAAAATCGACCCAAGTGACCATATCGAAAATTCCAACTTACGGTCGCTGTTTGTGTGACAGTGGAAAGTGTTGCATTTGTACGTTTTTCGGCAATAAACTGAGTGGCTTCGGCTTGTGTTTTGAATTTTTTGAAGATCGCACCGGTAAATCCTTTCACTTGTGACTCACATTCTGGCCTAATCAAAAATCAATAAAACCCATTTTCATCACACAAATCTCGTCAACTTTCAATTCTGTATGTAAATCAAATTACACGTGAAATTGTTTACCATGTATTAAAAATGCCGACACTTCTGCCACGAGCAACCGCATAAAATGGCATTCTACCGATTAATTTGCACAATGAATTGAACATAAATATGAAAATCTCTCTACGATGCTCAATGTCACACTTCAAATAATTAAATTTTCGTTTTTAAAACCGAAGAAAAATCACAACGACACGATGTTTTTTTTATGAAAACAAATGTCAATGAAAACAGATGTTAGCCTGAATGACATTTGAACGGCAACATGTGTCAAAGTTTCGAGTCCAATCACCTTAAATTCGGCTCCGAACGCTAGATGGCGCTAAATGTTCAACATAAAGCCAAAGTCGGGCGAAAGTAAACAGTTTACCGACTTTAAATGCTAATAGTTCAAATTGTGGAAAAAAAATCATCGCAAAGATAAATAAACAGACCACGAATTGGACACACACATTTACGATGCTATAAAATTATGCTCTATTTTCGACTCGATCTATGTCATCGCTGAGTTTTCCGGTTTTGACTCATTTTCTCAACAGAATACAACGAATTTTTATTCCTTGTTTATATGTCGATTCAGCTATGAAGGAAAAAAGATGCCAAAGTAAACGTCGAATTTATTTGCAATGACGAAATTGTCGGGAATACAATTCAATGTCTAAATAAATGACGATCCAATCGCACGAATGAGTTGCGAAACGGGGACGACGTCAAAAATTAAAATTTTTATGTACTAATTGCCTGATGAACTATTTTCGGTTTTGCTTATAATTATGGACATCATTGAGCACAATAAAAAACACAATCCATGCACGCATAACTGAAAGTGTGCCGATGTTTCGCGTAAACAGTGGCACAAATCCATGGCAGGCTCATTATTTTTTTTTTTAATTGCAATTATTCCCCCATCCAAAACATAACAACCGACAATAATAACAACAGTGAAAAAAAAACCATCACCAAACAACGTTTGAAATGAACGTCTGGCATCTCATGTTTGCTATATGGCATATTTGTGTGCGCATCTATGTGCGGTTTTATTATGGAATTAATTTCTATATGCGTTTGTGTGACAAGCTCATAGTACACTTGTTTGCCTGCCGACTTTAATAGGCAAACACTGCAAATTAATATCAAATGATAGACATTGTATAACATATCCGTCAAAACCGCAATGAATGGCACACAGAGGGATAGTGAGGGAGAGAGTGAGACAGAGTGAGTGAGAAGAAGAGAGAGAGAAAGGGAAAGGGAGAGTAAGGGAAAGGGAGAGTAAGGGAAAGAGGTAAAAAAACAGGCAACGATGCTATGTGTTTCGACAGGAGTCAGAGCGTCGCGTACAATACGCAAAAAACACACAATCCATTCGAATGTTTATTACGAGAATTTCAGTCGTTTCATTTTCAGCCGGCACAATAACAGCAACAACAACAAAACACAATGAGTCTACTGCGTCGAAAAACTACTCGGTTTTATCATTTTGTCTAACTTTTCTAATTGAAATGTTCGAATAAAAGAGAACGCAATCTTAAAATATTCACTTCAGTTTGGGCTCTGTTCTCGCAATTGCTGTGTGTGTGTGTGTTCCATTTTAATTAAAGACTCGTTTTGATAGAACGAAAATGTGAAGTCTTCGTCAAAAAAAAAAAAAAAATTATCCGGATGGTTGTTCGTTCGGTCTGTATTTCTCTCTATTTCTCTCTTAATCTCGCTATCGCTCTCTTGCCCACTTTCTCGCTCATTCTCGCTCACACTTTCTTCCATGCACTCTTTGTCTCAAACTTGTGAACTATTCGGCTTCTAGCTAATATTGTATAAAAATAGACATTTTATTGGCCGACGCCAATAAAGACAACGAGTAATCATGTTTGTGCACAAGTCTTCCATGCATTTCTCAACAAATGGTAGTTTTTCCCTGTTATTTGTAGTATTTTCACGGTATTCATATACACCGGTCGTCTCTTACTCGTTCCTCTTTCATTCTTACTATTTATTTCCCATACACAGGATCTTTTGCTTTCTACTTTGCTCAATTTCCCATTGAAACGACGTTTGTGTATGGCTTGCCCCGTTTGTATGAGGAAAGAAAAGTATTCGATGTGAAAAAAGAAAAGGTCGAAATCTCTCTCCATTTGGGTAATTAGAATGGGCACATGCCATTAGAATGTTGCTTGAAGCGCTTTGTTTATCGACAAAATGTTCCCGCTTGCAATTATCTTGTAAAATTTCCGAAAAAGACTCATTGTCGAATGGTGTATTATATGCCTTTCTCTTGTGGCTGCACATGATCGACGCCATTCAATCAGTTTTCGTTTGTGGGTCAAACAAAATCGATACGGTAAACAAACACTAATGCCCGTTCCAAGTACTTCGAATTTGATTTGAAATTGAATCCGAAGCATCTGGACGAAGTGATGAACGTGCAGGTTCTTGTAATTAGAAAACAGAATGTTTTGGTTTTAAGGTGAAGTCTGCGCTGCTCTAGCTTTGAGCATTTGAACGTAAAACGAACATAAGAACAAGCGTCTAACGTTAAATTTACCCAGCAGATTACTACATTTTACTATAAAAAGAGGCATTAAGAGATTACTATAAAATAAGGGCTGATAAATATCATGACACAAATAATTTTGAATCAATAAATGACAATGTTTTATTGTTTATTGGATTGAAAATACATTTGTTGCTTATAAAACTAAAGAAGTTCTGTCTTTTATTATTGAATTCAACTATATAGTGATAAACTGTGAAGAAAATTGTAGTGGCTACTTGACGGGTCGTCATTTAGTACTGTTAATCTGACATTATTTTATTTTTGTCAGTATGTAAGCAATTGTCTGTTAACATTGGATATTTTCTAAGGAGATCGCTGAAATCTCTCAACGGAACGTGATGAATACTGTTTCATTTCGATCATGTGCAAGTTAATGTCGCCGTTTCCGATGCCCCATCTTGTTTTTAAAAACATCTCCTCCGGAACGTAGATTTTTGATTTGTTCACTTTTTGACGTTCTTTATCCAGAGTTGACAATTTTAGAATGTTTTTCTCATCATCAACATTGTTATAACGTAATGCGAGCATATTCAGTTTTGGTAGCCTTTGAACGATTGATAAAATGGTTTCATCGTTTGCATTTAGAATCCATAACCGCTGAAGATTCACAAATTTTTCTGGAATCTGTTTCGGATGCAGAAAAATGTGATTATCTTAAAAATGTACAGGGTTAGCCGCATCCTAGGCACTTTTTTCGTTTGTGGTTCCGGTTATTTCGTTCCCTACTATCGATTGATCGGGTCGGTTTTTCAATTTTTGCTCTGATTCAGTTAAGCAAAATTAAATTGAATTGAGGCTAGTGACATCGAAATAATGTTGTATTCATGCTAGAAAAGTATGAGAATTGAATTCTTTGACCTGAAGAATTACCTGAAATGACAAAAAACTACTCTAAATCACTCATTCGTGTTTAGATAAAGAGTATCATTTTCTTATCAACAATGCCTTGGGCAAGAGTCATGTTAGAAGATCGCGTTTTCGTTTACGAACGAAAAAAATTTCAAATACGATAATTTTTCTTTCGAAGAAGGCCCAGCAAGATTATCACAAAACAATGACATCATAATGAGAACGTACAAACTCGATTAGAATGAGAGTTGATTTTGTCGATCAAACACATTTTCCAAACATCATTTGTTTCTTTTATTAACCAAGAAACTTTCTGCAAAGGGAAAACCCCGGAATAAAAGTCAACATTCTTCCTTTTTTCGTTTCCAATTCAATTTATTTCTGTTTTGTTTCATTCAAAAATGGAATTCAAATTCAAAATGGTATTTGATGGATTGTTTATGGTAAAAGAAAACATAAAACTAAATTCAAGCTGATTTCAAATTCTTAAATTGAAAGTGTTTCAAGTGCATCAAATTAGAGGATTAATGGGTCTATTTAATGGAATTATGGGAAATTGTTTTCCAACTAAATTACTATCTATAGGATGCGTGAATTATTTTTTCTTTAAATGGTGAACTGCCTCCATATGTCGATTGGCATCTTTTTTACTGACAAAGCTTGCTGCACACACCTTACATTGAATCCGCTCTCCGGTGTGATCTTTTCTCATGTGAATCGTCAACACTTGTTTGGAACGAGAAAGTTCTTTGCACAAATTGCACTGATACTGACGGTAGCCACAGCTATCTTCATGGGCAATTTTTGCTTCTTCAGTTGCGAATCCTCCGAAGCACTTGGAGCATTGGAATGGAAATCGGTCGCTGTGTGTTGTTGACAAATGCTGTTTCAGTTTTATCTGTTGAATGAATTGTTTGCTGCAAATTGCGCATCTGATCGATTTATGTTGACAACCCGATTCATGCGTTTGCTTATCTTTTGGAGTGGCGAATCGTCGACCACATTTTGAACAAGCATTTGGCGGTCCATCGATGTGGGTCATTGAATGACTTTGGAGATTAGCGTTTGTTGTAAACGACTTGAAACAAATTAAGCACTCGAATGGCTTTTCCCCGGTGTGAATCCGCATATGATCTGTCAAATGTGATTTGTGCATTGTTGTATATCCGCAAATATCGCATTCAAATCTAATGGGATTACACAATCGTATGAGATGTGACTTGTAACTTGCCAAATGATTGCACACATGGCATTTGTGCTTATTTTGCTTTTTGGCCACTTGATTCCTGGGGATCGTTTTTTTCTTTCGTCCTTTGGAGCTTCCATTGCGTTTCTTCCTAATGTCGACTGGTTGCGGTGGTTGCACATCGATTGCATCACACATAGGCTGTTCATTGTCATCATCGTTGGCCACGCTGCCGTTCGCTCGTTCACATGGTGTCGAGTCCTTTTGTTTGCTCGTTTCTTCTTCACATTTGATTTCATCTTTGATCTGATCAAAGTCACTACTCTCGGCCGTGGTATGTTCATGACTTCGTCACCATCGTTGGGCTCTTCCTTAATACCAGGCTCTTGCTTAACTTCTACCTTCGCGGATTTCGAGTTGCGCTTACGTTGTCCACTAGAAACACCTTTGAATGGGTTCATTTTCTGTTGGAATCAGGGGAATAATGAAAAATCAAAAAATAGCTAATAAATCGACACAACGCAAAACACGTGTTTGTCGCGTGTGTGGCCAAGAAAAATGCACACCATGCAAATGCGTACATAGACTTGTATTTCGAATTAATTGTCTTCAATTTCCATGAATATCCAATCGAAT